TCTTGAGGGGAAGAAAGCTCAGAAGGAGTGGATTGCATCTTTCCCTCAACTTTGCAGATTGCCTGAATTAAACTTGCCACTCAGAGTACGAAAACAGATTGTGTCTTGTTTACTCAGAACCTTACATTGGCCCCAAAGAGCAAGCCATTGCCAAGGGACAGAACATCTAGAACAGAACAAGAAGCTCCCACCCAGCAGTAATTGTGTCAACAGAGAATGTTCATTAGAACTCCAGTACATCGTGCCTTTTACTCAGCATTCTACATAGTGGATGGGTCAGTCCACAGGAACCTATTTATTTCATACTGAAGCTCAACCATAAGACTAATCATTACTCAGCACTAATACTGCATTTGTCTAAAGATTATTTACTCAGTAAGCTCACAACAGGGACTAGAGCTAAAACACAGGAGGGGTATAAAAAGCCCATAGGAACTTTCTCTGTCTGGAATTATTTTTATTAGCAAATCCAAATAAACAAGAAAAATATCACTTGTCATTCTACCACACATAGAGAGCATTTAATATTTTGATCTATATTTCTTAGACTTGTTCCTATTCTATGCATAGACTATTTGTGTGACTTAACACCCCCCCCCCTTTTTAAAAAACAAAAGTAGGATTAAAGCATACAATTTGCTTTGGCACCTGCTTTTCTTCACTTATAACAAGAAATAAATGTCCACACTATAATTATCAAGGATTTTGACTTGCTTGGATCCACAATCAATGCTCCGGCAAGCAGCAGTCAAGAGATCCAAAGATAAGTCACGTTGGGTAAATCTGTAGCACAAAACCTCTTCAAAGTGTTGAAAAGTAAGGGTGTTACTTTCAGGAGTAAGGTGTGCCTGACCCAAGCCATGGTACGTATTTGGAATGACCTTATACTCATATGTGAAAATGGTCCACTAAATAAGGAAGACCAAAGAAGAGTCAATGCATTTGAACTGTAGTGCTGGAGCACATTGAAAGTACCACGGACTGTCAAGAGGACAAACTGATCTGTGTTGGAAGAAAACAAACTGATCTCTCTTGGGAGAATGTTCCTTAGAAGCAAGATTTCTTCCTCCATAATTTGGACATACTCGTCGGGAGAGACCAGTCCTTGGAGACGGACATCATGCATGGTAAAGTGGAGGGGCAAAGAAAACGAGGAAGGCCCTCAATGAGATAGATCGGCACTGTGGCTGAAAATATGGGCTCAGGCATAGGAACAAGTTTAAGAATGGTGGAGGACCATACAGTATATCATTATGTTGTGCATAGGGTCACTGGGAGTAGGGAACCAACTTGATGGCACCTAACAACAACAACAACAACAACAGCAACAACAATGAAACAGGACCCATAACTCATTCCATGTACAAAAGTGAACATAAGATAGATCAAAGACCTAAATGTAAGTCCCAGCGCTATAAAGAAAAATTAGGGTCTAACTTAAAGACCCTATTGCAGTCATAAGCACACTATCAAATATCACGAAGGAAATATTAATCCAGTAGATGACAAAATAGTAGAGAACTACTACACAGTTATGAGGAAGGTGTGGGATGGGGCAATGTTTCCTTCTCTTGTGTATAAAGTTGCTGTGGGTCAGAACTGACTCAATGGCACTTACCAACCACAATTGCTAATGGCCGTATTCATCATATAAATAAAGTATCACTTTTTAACCAACCTTTATTTGATGTGGTACTTACATAATCTGGTGTCAGTTTGAGAGGATTATGAATGAAGGGGTGGAATCTGGCCTGTCAATCAAGATATAACCAATAAGGCCTCTGTGTGGGCATGGCCTTCTCCTGCGAATTCTGGGAATTCCTGGATTTCCTCCTTGGGTATAGGAGGCACATTCTCTCTTGGCTCACTCACTGAGAGACTCTCTACTGACAAGACACAAAACTACACTAGTGCCCTGAGCTGGAACAGCCACTTGGAGCCCCCTGCCAGCACTGAGATGCTTATGACGACACTGGATCTGTAAGAATTCCCACACACTGGCCTGTGATCTTCCTGCATTCAGTGTCATTGCATGTGTTTCATAAATCTGAAGCGGACTTTATACATTGGTATCGACATATGGGCTAATATCAGACTTATGAACTTGATCTGGGCTGGGATGTTTCCTCAATATTCAACTGCTCTTGTATCTGTAAAGCTTTTCCTTAGACACATGTGAGTGTTTATGAATTTGTTTCTCTAGTCTACCTGAACTAACACATTGGGGGACATTTAGTTTCCTTTTCTCTATATTAAATTGTCTATATGTGTAGATCCTTTAATATCTATCATGCCGTGATGCTTTCCTTGGATAGATTTCTAGAATTAGAATGCTAAGTCAATTGAATATCATTTTAATATATATATATTCACAAATTAGCTTCTAGAAATTTTAATTATCTTGTATCCCAACTACATTGCATATAATTTGCTTAGCTACCCATATCACTTGTAGAGAAATCCAGTCACGCTCCTTTATGTACGAGGAAGTGTTTAATATCGAGAGGTAATTGTGTATCAAGAAGGCACCCGAGTGCATCCATGGTGCAGAAGCTAGTCCTCAAGTCCATCAGTGAAGTTCACGGTGTTGGTGGCAAGGTCCCAGCAAGCAGGAAGGTAAAGTGGCAGAGAGAGGAAAAAATGGAGTTTCCCAGTTTTCCTTACTTATAAGAAGACCTTACCCACCGGAGGCATCATCAGGCTGTGGCCTGATTGACCGGTTGGATTCCACCCTTAAACTTTCAGCTATCTTCAACTTGACATGACTACCAAATCACTATTAATTTACTTTTGAAACTTTAAAATAAACTTACTAACCTGAAAGGCAAATAATGACTTCTCTTTTATTTCTCAGTTGTCATTTTCGTCTGGTGCTGAACTGCATATTCTCCACTGGATGTTGGTCATTTGTACTTCTGCTTCTTTATGACAGAAGGTCTCTCAGTCTTTCTCCCATGGAGCTTTTAGGTGAATTTGAATAGCCAACTTTTCAATCAAGCACTTAATAGATGCAGTTACTTTTTATTTTAGATATTGTATTCTTTAGTTCTTGGATTTCAATTTGATTCCTTATTAGGCTTTCTATACCCATCATGCAAGGCGCCCTCCTAGTGCAGTCGGTGAAGCATGGGGCTACTAATCACACCTGCCCCTGTCCCAAATGTAAATGCAAATGAAGCTCTCATCACGATCGATCTGCGGTCTCTAAAACCATATGGAGGAGCGCTTCTCTGTCCAACACAAACAACTGCCATCACTGCTAGGGACCCTGTAGGACAGGGTAGAGCTGCCCCTGGGGGTGTCTGAGATTGTCCCTCTTTCTAGGAGTAGAAAGCCTCGTTCTTTTCCTGTGGAGGGCTGGTGGTTTCCAACTGCGGGCTGGCGGCTAGCAGCCCAGCGTGTAAGCCACATGCCACCAGGCTCACTGTAACCTGGCATCGGCTCTATGGCAGCGGTTTGGAGATACCTACCCTGAGATTCCCCCATTACGCCTATCCTTTCCTGAAGATTAACTAACATACTAATCATGGCAATTTTAAAGGTCTTTTCTGCAAATTTCAGCATCTGGGTCATCTATTGTTTCATCTCCTTTGAAGATATTTTTCCCTCCACCTTTAAAAAAATGGTTTTATTGGAATATACAATTTATGCCTTCAGTCATATTAAGAAGAGTAGAGCAATAATTACCACAATAAATTTCTGAAGATTTTATTCTCATAAATAAGTTATTTGTTGCCCATTTTCCCCATCCTCCTCTGCCATATGCTTAGGCAATTATCTATCCATTTACTGTCTCTACATATCTAACTATCCTGGATTTCATATACAGAAATTCCATATATATATGGAATGCTTCACAAATTCATGTGTCATTCTTGTGCAGGGACCAAGATAATTTTTGCCGTATCATTCCAATTTTTATATATGTGCTGCTAAAGTAAGCATCCCTTGACTTTTTTATGTTTCTTCAAATAGTTTGTAGTTATTTTTACTGTATACCACTTGGTAGATAATACAGTGTAGAGCTTTTAAAACTACTATTATTTTGCAGGGGTTTTATTCCCTGTTATATACAACTGAACGTAGGACTTCTGTTGTTAAGTGTGGTCAAGCTAACGGCCTGCCTCATACAGTTTGTTTACTTGGGTTCATTCTTTAGCTAATTTACTTTAACAGTCTCTTTGTCGACTTAGGTCTCAGTAGAAAAGATCCTGTTATTTCCTCTGTAGAGCTTTGGGTTTTGTTCCAACAAGACAATTGTATTAATAGCGGTTCACTTTTGATACTGGGAGAGTGAATCATCAGGCTATGCTGGGGCAAATCGTTTTGATTTGTCGTAACTCCTAAGCCATGGGTTCCGTGGAAATTTGCTGCACTTTCCCAAAGCCTCTACATTGGTGAAAATCAAACACTGTTTCAGAACTTGAACCAGCTCTTCCTCGTGCAGCGAGGGTCAACATGTGAAACCAGTACTACTGGAATGTGCAAAACAGGGGTGCCTGGGGTAACAACCATTTTAGGGAAAACTAGAGTCGAAGGAAGCGGAGTAGTGTTCTCTTTCAGAGAACACGCTTTCCGAGCAGTGCGTTGGGAGCCGTCTTTGAGCAGGGGCTGCGGTTTCCACCTCTGCCAGGCCTGAGCTTTGGTCGGTATCCAGTCCTGGCACTTCCTTTGTGTTCTAACCGGGAGACGAAGATTCTAGCTGCGAGTCAATTTGCAATTTACCCTTCTGGTTGTCACGGACGCCCATATTTTGCAAATTGCAGTCTGTGCGGTTTCACTTCCTTGGCCATGACCGAACCAGGAAGAACCAGCTCAAAGTCCGGAAAGATGTCCAGCCTCCAGCAGCTCTTAAGATCTGCGCCGCCTTATTTTTCCTAGCCTTCCAACTGCTGTTTCCACTCGACGCCCTGGAGTTCCTAACGTGCATCGGTCTTGAGCCCCACAGATGCAGAGCGTTGGTCTGCAGGTTCTGTCTTCCTCTTCCCCAAGGATCTTAAACCCTCAGTGTCAGCTTCCACTCACAGGACAGCATCTAGCTGAGCTGCAAGGAAGCTTGCAAAACAGTCTTCATTATGCATATGATCTACTCAGCTAACGAGTGGTCACCTTGACATTTTAATTATATATTTAACATGCACCTCTCTATTAATATAGAACATAAACAACATTTTTGATAGTCTAATGTAAAGTGAAGAGTAATAGATTTTTCACTTGCTCATCTTCCCATCTCTAATTGTTGTTGAAATAATATGTATTTTTTAAACATTCTGATGATCATTTTTATTAGTTTGAAAATGAATATTATTTTGAACAATTAAAAGATACCTTTTACTTCGCTACACTAGATTTTGATATTTAGACTAAACTATGTCAACAGCATTATGCCAGAGTATCCTTGTTTCTAATTACTCACATATATCTTTGAGTAAGAATTTCAGGAGAAGTCAGCAGATGAAGTACTTTTTGAGCTGTTGCTTCTCCAAGACTCTCTGCAATGAATAGTAGCTTCTCAGTGAATACAATGTGTTCTGCCGTAACTGTTGATATTTCTTCAATGTCTCTAACACTTAGTTTTTCCAAAGGAAATGATAGCCAGCTGATTATGTTGTCCCTTTTCAGTTTGTCTGTCTAGGTGCTTGAAGGATTACCTTTTTGTTTTTGAAATTAAATTCCACAGATGTCTCTCTTAATTGATTTTGTTTGGCCTTTTAATAAGATCAAATCTTCTTTAAGCCCATGAAAAAATTTATTTTTATTATCATTATTTAAAATATTTCTTTTGTCCTTTTGCTTTCTTCACTTCTATGGGTCTGTGTTTTCTGAAGTTGTTACATCATGTAAATCACCAGTGTCCTTGTTTTATTTTAACACATGCTAACACCTACATCTAGCCTTCAACATACTAAACCAGTATCTCCAGGCAAGGGGCTTTAGGAAGAGGAATTTTAAACAAATACTGACTGACTAATGCTGACTAGGGCATGTTTGGGAAGCAGTTTTAAATGTCTTATTTTACCTACACTGGATTTTCTGGATCTGTCTTCTACGTTGATAATGCCCTATTGCTTGAAACAGCACCATTATTTTCATCCTCTGACTTCTCAGACAGTCTCTTGACTTGCTCTTCCATTTCACTGTTTCAGATTTCTGCGGTATCTAACTTACTGTTAAATGATTATTGCTTTTTCAGAGTCAGTAATCATAACTTGTCTGAAATAAATCTTTTCTATTATCAGATCCCTCTATTTATATAACATCAAGGTTGCCTTAAATCTTGTTGAGTAGACATGCTAGAGGGTTTTAAAATTTTTTTATTAGGGACTCATACAACTCTTATCACAATCCAGACATACATCA